ATATACTGTAGGGATGATGGCATTGTCCCAAGGACAAATAACAGTGTATTACTCCCCCCTTTTTAATATTACCAAAAAAGAAAAGAAAAAGAATGACAATGGTACAAGGATGTATAGGTAAATCCCGTGGAATGCCTATTTTTGACCTTAGATATATGTCAGGCTGGCATTTAAAACATTTCCCCCACATATTATTTTTCTGTTTTTCTTCCTTCGTTCTTTGTTAATTTCCTTCCAAATTCCTATTTTTAGGAACCCTGAATTAACAAATGTGGTTATTGTCTCAACTGTCATTGAGTTCCATTGTAAACGATGACTTTCATGAGCATTCACATTTTGAACCTTTTGAGTTGATAACTGAATAGTACAGATTCCCTGCATTGTATGAAGATATATGCCATACTGCCATAGCAATGAGAGAGTAATAAGGATGTCGCTTTTCTGACTCCTGAAAATTTGGAAAGAATATAAAAGGTAGCTTGACCTTGGGCCAATTTGAGAAGGATATGAAATTAAGGAATTGATATTATAACATTATAATATGCTGACAGTTAAATTTCTTATTATTTCTAAACCACATATAGCTTTTAAATACCACAAAGAAAACATGTATGTTTCTAGTCTACTCACCTGTAAAATGATCACTAGTACACAATGGATCATCTTTGGAATGTAGTTGACTGTTGAACAACTCGGGCGTTAGAGGCACCAATTTCCTGCACAGTTGAAAATGTGTGCAATTTGCAGTCAGCCCTTGAACAACACAGATTTGAACTGCACTGACTCACGTAATGCAGGGCTTTTTTCCTGTTGCTCTTGTGAGGAGCTCAAATGTGAGTCTCCTCTGAAAGTGTGTGATGCTCATTATATCTGAGTGAGCAGTTCATCCGTATACTATGCTTTCTTCATATACTATTCAGGATATGATTTATTTTATATGCATAAAAATGTGAGTGCTGGTAACTAAGATCTGGGACAGATTACTAAATATGGTTTAACGTCTTCAGTTTATAGTACAAAGCAGCAAACTCACTACCACGAAGTTGATTCCAACACACAAGAAAACTGAGACCAAAAGGGTTATTTTAGAACATGTCATAGATCGAAGTGTGTCTGTCCCAAATATTTTATCATGTGTTGTTAATGTGGTTAGTGAGGCAGGATTAGTTTATGCTAAACAAGATGAGGCTGTGTTACGTTAATGAGGCATGATTTTGTGTTAATTAGGTGCTATTTTGTGTTAATGAGGCACGAGGGGGATGCATCACTATCTCTACTGAAGAATCCTGGCTCTTACACAAGAAAAGCGTCCCTGGAGTGTGGTCTGAATCACCTTTCATCTCATAAGAGATAAAAGGAGAAAGGAGTGAGCAGACTAGGGGGACCACACCTTTACCAAGAAAGAAAAGCCAGGACTAGGGTGTATCGTGAACCTGGAGTCCCTATGCTGAGAACTTCCTAGACCCAGGGAAATATTGATGCTAAGATAGATGGAGATAGCTAAGGAGCACTGCTACTGGGCCCCGAGATACTGAAAGGCAACAATAGAGAAAACCTTTCCCTGCCTAGAGCTTGTGTTCTGAATTCGGACTTTTTGCCTTCTGAGCTGCAAGAGAACAAATTTCGCTTCAAGTCTTCCATTTGTGGTATTTCTCTTATAACAGTACTAGATAATGAAAATAGGTCTGTTCTGACAGTCGAGTTCTAAAATTAAATAAACAGGTAAACATAGCCCTCTAGTGGTTCTGTTCTATGCCTACAATATTAACTTTGGTGCATCTAGCATTTCTTTCAACATTTTAATGATTTTAAGAAATTCATTATGTGAACTTATGTTATCTGGCATAAAGAAACATGGGAATAAGAGTGGCAGGGATAACTTATTATGGCAACTATATGTCCATGTTAGGTTATAACACAATAGTTCGGAATATGATAATCCTATATGTCAAAGATAAATTATTGTCTAGATGCTTCGCTGTATGTATGATTATCATCATCAGATGATATTAATTACTCATGTGAATACTGAAGCATGGGTAAATTAACTGAGATGGTTGGTGGAATCATGATATACCCATGCTATGAAATACTCTTAATAAAAGGTGATTATTTTTATATGCCCTCTGGTCTCAGGACTATGGCCACAGGGATATCAAGGTCACCAAGAATAATTTGGAGGTTGCCAAGGACTTGTTTAAAAGCGCTTGCAAGTCTGACCGAGAACTCTGACATTTAGAAATAATACAAAAATATGAGTGCTTAAAATCATGTTTTCTTTTCAGTAGAAAAAAAATACTCTTAATAAATCAGACCTATGTTAATTGAAATGGCATTGGGGAAAACAGGTTGCAGAATGATTGTGTGATCTAGACATCTATAACCTCTGGCCATTGAGTTGATTCTGATTCATAGGAACCTTATAGGACAGAGCAGAAGTGCCCCTGTGGGTTTCCGAGCCTATAAGTCTTTACAAGGGTAGAAAGTCTCATCCATCTCCCACGGAGCAGCTGGCTCTTTCCAACGATTGACCTTGTGGTCAGCAAAGGAACAAATAACCCACCAGGGCTCCTTGCAAACCCCCTTCCTCGTGAGTGCTTTCTGTGAGTCCTGTGTGGCCATTTTAGGGAATTAACAAACCCCAAATAGATGTAGAATACTGAAGGATGAATGGGTGGTGTCAGAATAAGTAAAGAAAGATAGAAGATGAGGCTTATCTGACCCTGTCTCATGGCAATAGAGAAGCAAGAGAAGGCGGTGGCTGGTCCTCCCCTCCGCACTCTTTTCGCCCTGCCCTTGAGAAATGAAAAGGTGCATTGTGATGAGGGACAAAATTCCTCAACACAACACTCCTGGCCTTTTTTCTCACCAATGCAACTTTCAATTTTCCAAAACTGCTTTATAATAAGGCCCTGTGCTCGTCAGGTGTCCTACGAGAAAATCTATGAAGATTACCCCTTTGGAATTCCAAACACCAAACACCATGACCTGAGCTAACCTCTCGGCTTTGAATTTTACTGGCTCAGAGGTCCTCTCTGAGGCCACTGCTTCAATTAGATCTCGCTCTCTGGATCGCATTGATAAACACCCAACACTAGTTCCCAGTTCTGATTTGTCCCATCAATCATCTTCATCAGCTTTGATTTTATTAAAAAAAAAAAAAAAGGATGGAGATATCACACTTAGAGTTTACAAATATTTGAAAATGCTTTGGCATCCACCCCCACCCCCCCACCCAAGTTTGTGGAGGCCAAAGGATTCTCTTAAAACGGACAATGCTGTCCCAGTGAGACCCCAAGGTCAGTAGCTGTGTCATTAATGTAGCGCCGGTCTTCCCTCGTGTCTTCTTCATTGGGCTGACAGTGGCCTTCCTTCTCTGGGGTCATCTTTGAGGGCTTCCTGGCTTCTTTAAAATGCATGATCCATATAAAAATTGCTGTTTGATAGTAGACAGTCAACTTGTAAAACTTCAGTGATTTGGGAAGAAGTCCTCTTGAGTTTGTTTATATTTGATATTATCCCTGGCCTCAGAATCATTTTTCCTCTTTCATGGAACAAAAATATATATAGATACACATATTTTTCTTTTGTTTTGTTTTAAGTATTGTTAAAAATTATATATATTGTTAAAAAATTTTATAATACATATATTTATATTTTTTGTCTTGTTTTAAGTATTGTTAAAAAATTCAAACTCACTGCCATTTGAGTTGATTCTGACTCATCGCAACTCTGTAGGTAGACCAGAACTGCTCCTCTGGGTTTTCAGGACTGTACTTTATGAGAGTAAAAAGTCTCACTTTCTCCCCTCAGAGCAGCTGGTGGTTTTGAACTGCTGAGCTTGCCGTTAGCAGCCCAATAGGCAGTAACCCATTATGCCACCAGAGCTTTTCTTAGGCACCGTAAGGAGGCAGAAACAAGTGTATTATTGACAGAACTTGTCTGGAGCCCAAAACGGTGTCAGAGGAGGTTTAAACACCTTTTGTTTGGAACAAACCCATGCGTGTTTGAACTGGAACCCCCAGTAGCAATACTTTTTGACTTACTCACATATGTTTGTATACAACATATGAAATCGGAAGAAAAGCTATTACTCACCAATATTGGTGAGTCCAGAGGAGCGAAGATTGGAAGGGTAAGGAGGAAATGACTTCTTTATTTACCTCTCATTATTTAAATTATTAAGGCAGAAAGCGGGTGAGTCCTGTAGAGGAACAACTTGAAGGAATGAACAGTAAGAGGAACAGTAAGAGGAACCCAATCTGAGCAGCTTGAGGGAGGGGCTGGCTGTGAATTTCACAGCTGCTTCCTAGCAGAGAGCAGTGAGTCAGGTCAGCTTCTGTACTGATTTTTGGGTTTGTTCAAGGTTTAAATGGGAGTGTTTTTGCTTATAATAACCTCTTAGAGAGTGGGTTGGAAAGAGGGAACCGATTACAAGGAACTATATGTGACCTCCTCCCTGGGGGACAGACAACAGAAAAGTGGGTGAAGGGAGACGTTGGACAGGGCAAGATATGACAAAATAATAATTTACAAATTATCAAGGACTCATGAGGGAGTGGGGAGCGGGGAGGGAGGGGAAAATGAGGACCTAATGCCGGGGGTTTAAGTGGAGAGGAAATGTTTTCAGAATGATGAGGGCAATGAATGTACAAATGCGCTTTACACAATTGATGTGTGTATGGATTGTGATAAGAGTTGTATGAGCCCCTAATAAAATGATTAAAAAAAATAACCTCCTTAGATACAGCTGATGCTCAATGTAGTAGAGCTTGGTATTTCTCTTTGTGGATTTGCTAATAAGCTTTCCCTTGTTCTGGGAATTAAAATGCTTTCCTTTTGAACCCAATTAACTCAGAAGGCCTCTATGAAAAGGCCCTTCTTTGAGGTCTCTCAGTGGAATTGATTGGTCCCGAATATTCTTCCCTCACTGGCTGTTAAAATATTTCCTAGCTCTTGAAGGTATATTTTGAAGACTGTCTCAAAATCTCCCCTCCAAAATGCTGAAGAATAATGAGGGCACCAGCTCGGGCTCCCACAGTGAAGAGGGCTCCGTCTTCTCCCAGGCTGAGCACAGGATAGTTGCATCTTACTTGATTACGGCAGGTATGGCTGTTTGGTTACTCCAGTAACAGAGATCTTGCTTTAGAAGGGGAGAACAAGCATTTTTCTGTATTAGGAAGTAGGAGTTTCAAAGCAGTCTTTCAGAGAATGTTGCGAGTTACATTTTGTTCGTCAGGGGGCCTGGTAGTGGAGTGGTTCTGCACTGGGCTGCTAACGGCAAGGTCAGCAGTTTAAAACCACCAGCCTTTGAAAGGGAGAAAGATGGTCTTTCTAATCCTGTAAAGAGTCTAAGAAACTCCAGGGCAGTTCTACTCTGTCCTGCAGGGTGCCTATGAGTTGACACCAGCTTCATGGCAATGTTTGTTTGGGGGTTTTGTTTTGTATATATGCATATTTAAAAATAGGTCTTTTTTTTTTTTAGTGGAATCTAGCCAAGATCAAAAGTCCAGATAAGAAAATTAAAGTTTTAAAAACAGAGAGAGAACAGAGTATATTGCTATTGAGGACAGAATTTGAAAACTCACTTCATTCCACAATGTTGAAATGTAATGCGCCTCTTGAACTTGTATCCCATCTTTTATATTTTTAAACAGTGGATAGATTCCTTACCTTTTGGTTCTTTCAGTTTTTAAAATCTGTTAAATGAGGATATGAATGAGCTACCTGTCATGCGTGTCTTGAAGAGTACATGAAATAACACATCAAGTACTTTGGGTATAAGATATTGGACAAATATCACCCTTTAGCATACATGCGCATTGATTCAAATATTGGATGAATCACTTAGGTAAAGACTTCTTAGAAGACGAGAAGGATGGGAGGAATGATAAAAATCCCTTTAGTATCATTTTTTTGTGACTAGGTTGAAGTGTGATATAACTTTCTACTGACCAACCTCTTTATTTCCAAATGTATGTTCCTGCAACGAACTTCAGAAGAAACAATTTTTGTTATATTGGGTTATTTTTTGGATTGAATTTTATGGAAAATTTCAAGCACATTGAAACGTAGAGGGAAAGGCAATACATTCTCATGTACTCAAATTAATACTTTACAATCACTTAGTTTTTCTCCGTGAATTCACAATTAGAGTATTGCTTCTATCATTAGACATTGTGAGTTTCTAAGTTAATTTGTATAGATTGTAATGACATTAATTCAAGCAACATTTGAATATCTGTTATATAAAACAAAGAACTACTGCCACCTGACTCTTAGTCACCTTATAGGACAGGGTAGAACTACCCTTGTGGGTTTCTGAGACTATAACTCTTTATGGGAATTGAAAGTCCCGTCTTTCTCCATTGGAGCTTCAGGCGGATTTAAACTGCTAGCCTGTGGTTAGCAATCCAATGTGTGATAGGCACTGAGCTAATGCTACTTTCCCTTTTGAGTTTTGTGTTATTGCTACTTTTTGAGAGAACGATATACTATTTAAAGATAAAAGCCCTTAAATACAAAGAAATACTTTGTAGTTAAGGTGTTGATGTATTTAATTTTGGTTCATTTATTAAAAATAATCTGCTACCTTAAAAGAATATAGCTATCACTAGGACACTGAAATTTACATGGGAAAAGTAGGAAGATTTGAGACATAACTGATGGAGCATTACAGCAATGTAGGCAAGTATGTTGGGGACTTTTAGAAGACAGAGTAAAATGTAGGTAGGAAAAGGCTTTGGGGTAGAGGTGGGGTCCATATGAATATGAAGATTGGATAACATTTGGTAGGGAGAAAAAGGAACAAGGTGTTCAAACTGGGAGAAGCTTGTCAAGGTTTCTTACAAGTGTGTTGTTTTTGATAAATAACAAGAATCGAAGGCTTGTTTTGACAATTATGGAAATTTTCTTCTCCTTGCCATTGAGTCACTTCTGAATCATAGTGACCTTAAACCAGCGGTTCTCAACCTGTGGGCCATGACCCCTTTGGGGGGTTGAACGACCCTTTCGCAGGGGTTGCTGGATCCATAACAGTAGCAAAATTACAGTTATGAATTAGCAATGAAAATAATGTTATGGTTGAGGTGTCACCACAACATGAACTATATTAAAGTGTCACGGCATTAGGAAGCTTGAGAACCACTGCCTTAAAGGTTAGTGAGAACTACCCCTGTGAGTCTCTGAGAGCAACTCTTTATGGGAGTAGAAAACCTCATCTTTCTGCCACAGAACTGTTGGCGGTTTCGAACTGTTGACCTGTGGTTAGCAGCCCAACACATAATCCACCCCCAAGGTTCCTGGGAACTTTGCTTAGGGAGGGTGAAAGTAGACTGAGGCAGTTAGCCTGTGATACCAGGATGGGCCATTTGGATTTATATCCCTCATACAGTGAAGTATTGGAAGTTTTGAAGAATAAAGCCATGACAAATTCTATGTTGTAGCAAGCTCATTCTGCCTGAAGCTTAGAGGGGCAAAGAACTGAAATCTGGAAAATGAAAGGGAACTTTTGACCCAAGTGCTAAGATATAGTAGTTCTTAACTATACTTTTGTCTATCAGTGCTTGGAAACGTTCCTCCATTTCTCACAATAGCTGGGGATTCCAAACCAAACCAAACTCACCACCATTGAGTTCATTCTGACCCGCCAGTAATTCTCTTGCCAACGAACACATCCCTACTGCTTTCTGGTTAGCCCCTAAGAATCCTTGTCCAGCTGAAATGGTTTCACACCCACCCTTAGGATCTAATGTGCCCACGGCTGGTTTCTGGGCATATTATGCATCCTTTGCAGCAAGAAAGGGAAGTTGATCAGGCTATCCTCCAGGCCCAGTCCATTCAACAGTATTTCTCACTGTTAATGAACACAGTGATCGTCTAGTATGTTTAGGCACCAATCTATCTGCGTTCATCCAACTCTGGGGCACTGACAACAGAGTTTCTGAACCTGCAAGACTGAGGGTCAGATCCTGGACTGTGGGAACTCAACTAGGGGAGGCTTTTTGATAGTACCCAAAACTGGTATCCTTGCTGAATATCCAAATGTTGTAGTACACATTCTGTGTGAGTGTGTGTGTGTTGGAAGAAGCATGAGACTGGGATATATTGAATTCCAAATAATACTGAGAGAGTATCCTATGATCTTACAAATGATAGATGCTTAATAAATGCAGTGGGTTGAATGAAAAAGAAGATGTATGTATTGAGCACACAGGTTAGGACTGGAAATAATGATACAAGAGCTGTTAATATAGATGGGTTACTAACTGCAAAGTTGGCAGTTCAAATCCCCCAGCCTCACCATGGGAGAAAGATGAGACTGTCTATTCCCATAAGGATTTACACTGCCAGAAAACCCTATATAGGGTTGTCATGAGTCAGAATCAACTCGATGGCAGCCTTAGCAAGCAGGAAGAAGTTGGGTTGCCAAGAGACAATGTGTGGTCGATACATATTCTAAAATTCATCAGAGATGATGAGCCTGAAACCCTTTTAAAAGCAGAGTAATCAAAGTGATGATATAAAAAACCACTCCCTCGAACCAAAGAAGGGGGAGGAATAGAGAGTGGAGCACATCTTGGCCCACCAAGCCTTGAGGACGATATTCCTGCTCAGAGAAGCCAATCCACAGAAAGGACAACATGACCGACCCCACTATGAGACACGATATCCCTCACTGATCCATAGCCCTACAGGGGACAACACTGGAGACACCATGTGGGAATTGTGCCCGTTCTGATCCCTAC